CTTTACCGCTCACCTTGTTCATATCCAAAGAACCTAGACCATCCACTATGTATGGCCCCCAGACTCCCCTTACCCTCTGTCCTCCTACACCGCCATCCAGACTTACCAATTCCTGACCTATATTCCTACCTTCTCCTTCCTACCGATAATGCCTTCCCCTATCTCGGCTAACCCCACTACTCCTAATGTTTAGGACTCGGAAAACACTTCGATTGATAACTCTCCTCTATCCCCCATTCCTAATAGTTCCCCTGGTCAACCCCTCCATCCTTCGGCTCACGACATTGACCCTGTGCTGGCCTTCTCTCCTCCCGTTCGTACTAGCTCTAGCTCCCCTCCTCTTCCAACCCTACCCTCTGACCTTTACCCATAGGCCCAGCCCTTCGACTCCTCCTCTGAAATTTTGTTCAACCAAGGTCCCTGGGTACCGAGGATGCAGAAGAAAATTTAGAAGACAGGTCTAACCCAGAGGAAGATAGGCTGAGAACAATGTACAAGATAATGGGTTTTGAGTACAATGGACCTGAAGGACCAGCACACAGGTTCATCACGACTGACGCAAAAAGCAGAATGCAACCTGTTTTCTTCCTTTCACTTCCCAGGGAAAGTAACTTATTTCAGCCCTTCCCCATCCATTCTTGGTCGCCCGAGGAGGTCCCCTAGACTGTCCTCCTCCCTTGCTATCACCTATTACAAATGAAACTGTTAATTTGGAATATTAGAGGCCTTGGTCAGGACTCTAAGAAAGCCACCATCAAAGCCTGTACCTTGAAACTCTCCCCAACTATTCTGGGCCTTCTAGAAACCAAACAACCAGACCCTGACCTAAAGCTTGTTCGTAGGGTCTAGGGCAGGAGACCTTGCCAGTGGGTCTCTCTGCCGTCTATTGGAGCCTCGGGAGGAATATGGGTGATCTAGGACCCATCAAACCTTTCTCTCATCTCACATTTCGTTGGGGAATTTTCTATAACCCTCTTTCTAATAATTCAGATGTTACAAATACATATGGTCCAACCACAGCTCAAACCCCACCCTCTCTAAACTTGATAGGTTCTTGATTTAAGCAAATTGGGAGGAACGTTTCCCTAGATCGCTATCTTTGGCCCTACTTAAACCTACATCGGACCACTGTCCCATCCTTCTCGACACGAATGCTGTAATAGGGGCCCTCGACCCTTCAGTTTCTATCTGCATGGGCTCCTAGAGAAGGACCTCCCAGCCCTTGTTAAATCCTGGTGGACTTCCTTAGATTCTCAGGTCTCGGGGAGAGCGGGATTTATCCTTCAAAGGAAAATTCAGCTTCTCAACGGAGCTCTCAAATCTTGGAGCAGAACCATCCCTGAGAACTTCGTGCAAGTACAGACCACTTTACTAGAAACCGCCAAGAACCTTGACGATATTGAAGAGACCAGACCCTTAGACGTCTCAGAACAGGATCTTAGGTCTAAGACTAAGATGGAGTATCATGCCAACCTAAAAAAAAAAGAAATCTTTTGGTTCCAGAGATCCAGAGTTTCATGGTTTAAAGCAGGGGCTCATAACACTGGCTTTTTCATCGGATAGCCAACTGTCGTCGTAGAGACAACGCTATCACGACGATAAAAGTCAACAATACTTACCTTACCCGAGCTTGTGATATTTAACAAGCCATCTTACAGTTCTTTCAGAACTTATACTCAGCTCCCCCTGAACCCAGACTCAGACCCAGATTCTCGACCTTAGACTTCCTTTCACTCAATGAAGACCAAGCAGCTTGGCTAGAGTGACCTTTTTCTGAACCTGAGATTCTTAAAGTGGTCAAAGCTCTAGCAAGCGACAAGGCCCTTGGGCCTGATGGCTTCCCGATTGCCCCCTTCAAGGAGTACTGGGACGTAGTCAGCCATGACTTCGTCAAATTTTATGAGGAATTCTTCCATAGGGGCATTTTAAATAAAGCCATGAATGCCACTTTCCTAGCACTGGTGCCCAAAAAAGGAGTTGAGGAAATTAAAGACTTTCGGCCTATCAGTCTCCTCAACTCCTACATGATCCTGGCAAAGGTTTAGCGTCTAGACTGCAACATTTTTTGCCTTCCATCATCTCTAACTCACAATCTGCCTTTATCAAAGGTAGACAAATTCTGGATGGGGCCCTTGTGGCCCATGAATGCATCCATTCGAGACACATTTCCAAACAACCAGGTTTCATCTTCAAAATTGACTGGGAGAAGGCATATGACCATGTGGGGATTGGTCAATCTTGGACGCGATTATGGCTGGAATGGGTTTTGGGGAGCGATGGAGGAAATGAATGAGCGGTTGCTATTCTAACCCTCACTTCTCCATCCTTATCAATGGAACCCCTGTAGGCTACTTCGCTTCTTCTAGGGGTCTCAGACAAGGACCTTTCCCCCTTCCTTTTCGACATAGCGGCTGAAGTCTTTATCCGTTCCATTGCTCGGGTCTACCAAGCAGGCCTTATTACAGGTTTCAAAACTAGTAGACAGGGACCCACTATCACTCACCTACAGTACGTGGATGACACTTTAGTCTTCCTGGAAGCTACTGCTGCTGAGGTAAAAAATCTAAAAACTTTCCTCAGTTGTTTCCAAACAGCTACTGGGTTCAAGATTAATTTGGAAAAATCTTGTATGCTGGGGGTGGTTTTGTCACTTGGTGAGATTAGGGATCTCATTCCAGATTGGGAATATAAAGTCCAAAACCTGCCGACAACCTACCTGGGCCTTCCCTTCGGTGTTGGTAAGCCAAGAAAGCAGCTTTGGTCCCCAGTACTGGACAAGGTCGATCGACGAATTGGCCGGGTGGAAGGGTAGATACCTTTCCTTTGTAGGAAGAACTACCTTGATTAAAGCTACCATAGCGAACTCCCCAATCTACCTCATGTCCCTTTACCATATGCCTGCTCAGGTGGCGAACCGCCTGAATCAACTCATGAGGAATTTCCTTTGATCTGGGCAGGAAGACAAGAGGAGATACCACCTTGTTGCTTGGAACAAGGTTTGCCAACCAAACGTGCAGGGAGGTCTAGGGATAAAGGTGCTGCGCAAGCATAATGCAGCCTTGCTTGGGAAGTGGTGGTGGCGCTTAGCTACTCAGCGAAACACCCTTTGGGCGCTGGTATAAGATTCCATCTGAAGATTGGCTCCCTGGAAGAGTCCAAGTCCTTAATGCCTCAGGGGCCTGGAAGTTGCTTTTAACAGTCCTGTCCTCTTTCAAGAGACACATTAGGTTCCACCCGAGTGAAGGGTCGAGAATTAAATTTTGGCAAGATATATGGCTAGGGACTTTCGCTCTTTGTGAGGCCTTCCCAACTCTTTTCTCTCTCGCACGAGACCAAGATTCTTCTGTGGCCCAGGAGCTCAGCACCTTGGGAGGTCGCAGAGTTTGGAATCCTTCCTTTAGAAGAAGCCTAAACGAAGTCGAGACGGCTGATTTCCAGCGACTATTGAACCCCTTGCACTCTCTCTTCTTCATTTCTCAAGGGAGCAATGAAATCATTTGGACCTTCCCCCTTGGGTAAATTCTCAGTGGCTTCACTCTACAAAAACCTTTCCTCCTTCCCCTCCCCATCCAAACACGTCCCTAGAATTTGGTCCACTATTGCACCACCCAAAGTACAGGCCTTCAACTGGCTCGCCTTCTTACAAAAAGCTCTCACAGTTGATCAATTACAAAGAAGAGGGGTGCCCATCCTGAATAGGTGCGTTTTGTGTGAATGCAAGGAGGAAACAAACTCCCATTTGTTCCTGCTTTGTGCCTTCTCTTCAGACTTATGGGGCAGTGTTTTACAACTTTTTGGCTTATAATGGGTTACCCCACCCTCGGTAAAAGCCCTCCTTACCTTTCATTTTGAATCAAGCTGGCCAAAGGCAGGTAGAATCCTGTGGAAAGCGACCTTAGCTGCTACCATTTGGCTAGTATGGATGGAAAGAAACTCTAGAATTTTTCGAGGGACCATTTTTCAAAAGGTAACCACCCTGGTGACCTTTTGGGCATCCAACATGAAGTTCTTCGCCGGAATTCCAAGATCCTTCTTTCTTTCCCAATGGGGAAATATCCTTCATTACCAACCAGCAAGGCAGCTAGGCCAAGTCTTTGGTTACCACCGAACCAAGGTAGCATCAAACTCAATTTTGACGGGTGCTCCTTGAGGAACCCCGACCCAGCAGGGGCAGGAGGAGTTTTCAGAGACTTTGAAGGCAATATTTTCCTCACCTTCTCCGATTACCTCGGCATCAAGGACTCTCACTATGCGGAAGCCTTATCCCTCCTCCTTGCTCTAAAAAATTCAACTCCTCCTAGGCCTCTAGCTTGATAGTGGAAGGTGATTCCAAGAATATCATCTCATGGGCTAGTAGGACATGTGATCCTCCATGATACTCGATCCAAGTTTTTGACGAGGTTCAACAAATTTGCAGGGCTATGGACGTCTCATGGAAGCATATCTGGCGGACGTCCAACGACTTCGCGAATCAGCTGGCGAAGGAGGGTGCTAGAAGACAGGGAGAGGCAGTTCAAACTGGGTCGACCTTCTTTTTTGCTTTGGACCAGTGAACCCCCATTTAATTTTTTGGGCCTTTTTATTTTTCCTCGTCATTGTACATTTGAAGGTGGGGGGCAATTTTATAAGCCCTATCCTAGCCTCTTTTTGTAAATCGTACTTAGGGGGGAAAATCCTATTACTGTACAGGGGTTTTCGATCTTCTTTTTACCGGGAGTCTCGTCTAGAGGGCTCTCCCAGAGACACAATATACTGTAATTCCCTTTCTTGTCGAAAAAAAAATCTTAAAATCGCTCTTTTCCCTTTCTTCCCTTTCTTCTCCTGCTTGTCCTTCTCTTACTAGGAAAAAAAAAGGCCAAACCCACACTTATTTTATTGTTTTCATGTCTCTTAAACTAATTTCTGAGTTTTCTTTCTCTCTCTTTTAGGTCTTCTCCTAAATGCGGCAGTTCCTGTCCCTTTATACTCTATGAGGCTCATTTTTTTCTGTGATCCAACAGGACGATGACCTACTTGATGTTTCAGGGGAGTTTCCATTATATATCTCAAGGGATCTGATTTTTATCATTGTGCAGTAAGCAGCTTATTTCCTTATGCCTATTTTTCTATGAAATCTATTTGGTTGCTCTGAATAATAAAAAGAGGATGCATGCTCATTTATTTTTGAATTTATTGAGAATGGGCTTTCCATGGTTATGCTTTATCTGAGCTATGAATTTGGGAATATGGCATTGATTCTTTTTGGGTTAATGTTTGCGATGTCCTTTTAAAAGGGAGAAGCACATCATATCTGGCCATTAGAGTCACTTCTAACACTTGGTGGAGAGATTGAGAATTGGTGTTTGTTGGTTCTCAATTATCTGAGTTTTGAGAGATCTGCCTCTTTGTTTTCCTTTCCCTATGATAAAATTTTGTGTTCTATAATGTTTTATGGAGATTAAATCATGATTCAAATGCTAGAATGTTTTCTTCTTTTTCAAATAATAATGCTAGAATGTTTTCTTAGCAATATTTTTGGATATGCAATGATAATATTTGATATACCTGCGAGTGTGTACAACATACAAGGACAATGTTCGGCTTCTATTTATTTATTTTTCTTAATCAGTATGTGCCCTGTGGAATTTTCAAAATGAGAGATTTTTTTTTTTTGTTTAAATTGATAAAAATCTGGCTTAGTAACATATCAATCACACAACTCTGGTCGATCTATCACATTCACATTATTTGGGTTCCTTGTATCTGAATTAGGCTTTTTATGCAAGTCTACTACAAGATTCTCATCGTCTCATTCTCATATAACAAAGTTCTGTGACTCATCACCCAACTTAGTTTAATACAACATATAAAATACAAGAAGGAATACCAAGGTCCCACCAAAGTGCTACTCTGAAATATCTCGTCTCTCATGAACCAAAAGCAACTATTAAGTCTTGTTAGTGACAGGAGAGAGCTGACAAGCATGGGAGTTTCCCACCTATGATTAGAATCCTTAACAGCCTACCACATTAAGCTATAGGGTTAACAGTGCAAATTTTAGCTGTACGTGTAGAACTTCACCTCTCCATGACTGGCACAAATGGCCATGTAACACCATGCCATATGATGTGGTGGTTTCAGTACGTACCCCAAGGTAGTGGCACTGTATAGAATGGCCATCATGTTTCCAAGACAATTGGACTAATCTTGGATGAGGTAGGTTACCCGCCTCAGGTTCTCAACCTTGACACTGGTTGGATCTTCCTCAATTCTATATTTGGAGAGGGGAAGGGTCTCACCACTATGTATGTTTGGGGTCTCATGGGGTATCTGGATGGAACTCAAAACATTGATTTGATGTTTTCTATACTGCTGAGCATCAAAGTGGAAAACATGGCAATTTGTGATGCTTTTAGTTAGATTATAGCTGATCCCAAATGGTTGGGAAAAGGCTATGATTATGATGATTTCAATGAAATTGTCAATATTTATTCTATGACATGTATTTTTCTTGTAGTATCACTTTCTGATTTTTTTCCATTGCTGCTATTCAAGAAGAAAAACAAACATGGTTAGTAACTAATTAAGTGAAAGGAGGCAATGGTGGGAGAAATAAAGGCACATATGTAGTAGTTCATACAACCACTTAACGGAAAGAATGCAGTAGACTTTCGATGGGTGTGCAAGTTAAAATTTGGACCATATGGTCAGTTTAAAAATACAGGTTAACACTTACAGTCAAAAGGTTCTGCCAAGATATGAGATTAACTAGAATAAGGATATATTCGTTTTGCCTAAAGGAGTATTTTGAGGGTTATTCTATACATGCCTAAAGGAGTATTTTGAGGGTTATTTTATAGGGAAAATTATAAATACCCCACAAAAATCAACTTTCTACATATCTTACCCCTCAATACTTTTATATTATACCCTAAACCCCAACACTATTTTTCTTTGTATTTAACCCCCCAGTCAAAAAGTTAAATGACATTTCGACCAAAACACCATTTTTAATACTTCCCCTTTTTTCTCTTTTTTTTTTCCCCTTTTACTCACGTGACACAATTGCTCTCTTCCTTACTCTCTCTACTCACCCTCTTTCTTATTTTCTCTCTACGTCTCTGCACCCGCCCTCTCTGTCTTTGTCTCTCTACCCATTTCTCTTTATCTCTCTTTCTCTCTACACCTACACTCCCTCACCGTTTCTCTCTGTACGTTCTCTACTCTCTGAAACTTCTTTGTCCGAGAAAGCCTTGACTTCCAATGGTTAAATCTCTGCACAAAAACCAAACACCATTGATGCCAAAGCCCCTTCAGCTTGATTAGAACCCCAATTGTTCTCCAATTCAAGAAGCTTTCTCAACAAAAAACATGGGAATTTGGTTTTCCATCATCATATCTTCTGGCGACTCTGTTGCCTGAAAGGTCAATTTCTATAAAATGGCGACACGCACTACTTTCCATTAATTTCCTCACTACAATCAACATTTCTGCCCCTTTTTTTTGGGTAAGTAATATTTATGCCTCCTGCTACTGTACATCCCCTTTTAGTCTCTAGAATTACAGTGGCTTCACTTCAAGTCTTCTGGCCTCGATTTAGCATAATCCCATTCTCAGAGCTTGAATATTACCAGTCCTCAATTAGAAGCAAACAACACACCTCAAAAATTTTCAGTTTGCTTCCGCCAAATGGGAGCCTTGGGGCAGCAGTTTGGCCGGAAATGGTTGTTGCTGGGAAACCTGTTCGTTGCCTTCAAATGGATGGAAAAACAATTGCAGAGGTTTCTGTGTAGTTGGGAGCCATATTCACATATCACATTGATTGAATCAGTGTTTCAATAAGCGCTAGGCGGCACCTAGGCAGTCGGGGGAGTTCAGGCCGTCTAGTGCCTAGGCGGCCGCCCGCCAAGAACCTGGGTGGCCCGGTAGAAATTTTTTTTCGGGGGGCTATCTCTCTAAAATAGCCTCTAATGGGTTTTAGGTTTCACATGAACCTAAAACCCACAATTTTACCCTTTTAGTATTAAACAATGACCCAAAAATACCATCAAGGAGCCGTCGTCCGGGTGGCCGCTTAAGCAGGTTCAGGTGGGTGCCTAGGCGGGTTCCCGCCTAATTTGGCTGCCTAGGCCAGGGCAATGCCCCCAGGCCTTAGGGACCGCCTAGGCATTGGGCAGTCCGCTTTTTAGAACACTGGACTAAATATTGGGATACCGTGAAACAAGACTAGGCGATTATATATTAATATCCCAAAATGGAAACCTCAACCATGTCGATAGATGCCGATTTGGCCGCTTCATCCGGTGATAGGTTCCTGAAGAAATTATTTCACTTGGAAAAGCAGGACAAACATTTTTTGGGAGAAACAATGCAAAAGCTGGATACCGGCTATGGACTTCATGTTTGGTACGTATAGGCTCTGTTAGAGGATGTCTTCATTACAGTTGACCATGCTATGGAGAGCATTGTGACAATTAGTCTTCACTAGACATTGCATCTTATCCAGCTTATCACAACAGGCAAAGAATATAGAAGTAGGCTGTCCCTTTATGAGAGAAAAGATTAATTACAAGGTTGTTCACTCCCCTTATCTGAAGATAAAAGATATGTCATGCTGCATTTTCACATACGCCTCGGGGAACTTAAGACCGAGTCAGGGGTTACATGATCATTTTGTGTAAGTTGTATGCCTCTGGATATTTTTTCTTCCGTCTGTTGTGCATATAAATAGTTTATTATCCCTAATATTGTAAGGACGCCAATACCCATGTACAGTTTGTAATTATGCACGTTCTTTACAAAGACCTAATTCGAGGCTTCAAGGTCGTGAAATGAGAATACACGCCATTCATGGCGACTTTTTCAAGTCTTAGACATTTTAACGAAATAATTTGTGCAATTTTTCTCATTCCTCATTACAAGTTTACATCCTACATGCTTTGGAAAGGGCCATTCATTGGATCACTATGTTCCACTAAACAGGCCTTTATCAGCCAACAAGCACTGCGTAAATCCACTAAACAGGCCGTTGTTAGCCAGCTCGGCAGATTTGCCAATTTGTACGTATTTTTAACGCATCAACCCCCCCCAAAAAGAAAAATAAAAAAAATAGAAGCAATGGAAGCACCTGTGGCTTCCAGGTACCAATTACACATTGAAAACCAATAGGAAGCACCATTGAGCCCCTGTTCAATACTTAATTGGGCTAAAAAATAGTGAGACCCTCACATTCTACAACGGAGAGTTCACCCAATAAAAATTACGACATACGTAGGTTTTCCCGATAACGAACTTTTGTGGAGTGCAAAATAAGGTACATGTCTTGAAAAGCCCTCAAACGACCTCGAATTGGCACCAAAAGAGACGCAAAGGTGGATCCTGTTGTCCTAATAAAAGACATCTCCGAAGTTTCAACTTAATTGGATGCCGAATCTCTGACGGTCTTGGGACTGTCATGGATGGATTTAGAAGGCCCAAAAACCCTGAATTCATCTCAAACACCTATAGACCCTACTTCCTGAAAATGGGGGGTGTGGCATACTATTTAGGATTTGCAATCTATGTTTATTGCCAAAAATAGCAAAGTCTTGCAACTTTCCTCAAAAAATGGGCAAACTTTGCACCTTTGTATCTTCTGATTAGTGAGACAGATCAAGCTGAGATTTTAGTATGTTGTGCTCCTTTCCGAGCACCTTCTTTTCGTATATGCCATTGGTTGGGCCTCGATCTCTTCAGTTTTGTATGCAGGGGCCCAAAGGTGGGGCTCGGTTCGAGATCGCTCTCTCGAAAACTGCAGTGCGTGTGGTGTTCATGGGGGTGTGGGTACGGACCAACTAAGAGAGAGAATTAGGGGTGTGAGGCGAAACCTACCTCACGATGGGTTCGTGACACGCTTGGGCATGCAGGCGGCCCTCTCAAATCACGGTGGAAAGCCCCCTTTGCCTGTGGCTCTGTCCGGCTTTGACTCCCTTGCTATACTTTGTGCCTTATAAACACCAATGCATAAGATGGTCGGACAAGGGGAAAGACCTTGACTTGTCTTTAGAAAGATGTGTTTAAGAATATTTTGGGTGTGGGTGTTAGGATGAAGAAGAT